TCATCTCCAGCTTGAAAACAGACAAAAAGCAATATTTAAATCTAAAAAAAAAGGAGAAAAAACATATCTTGACTCGAAACAACATTTTTACACACAATCCATGTCACATGTTCAACTTTGGCATCTTTGTGGCCAGACAGCAGATCACCAAGGGCAAAGGAACCATTTTTTCTAATGTGCACTAACGGGCTGGACTGAATGTGTAGAGCAGCAGGTTGACTGTGATTACTCTGTACTCTGTCACAGAGAATGAACCCAGTTATTCTCTGGAGGAAAACTAATTTTGTTCTGCCATGTCCAACAGCTGCCTGTTTCAGAGGCCAATGCGAGGCTGTGGCCACAGTGAGAGTGGAGACTAAATGATAAGATTCTGTTTGGTAGTGTGGTTTTCTTACAGCAAGGGTCAAATGAAGACATGTATTCTTCTTTTTTATAATCTGACCAACATGTTTGGGATAAATGTAAAAGAAAAAACTGGCAATAATGAGAACAAGCATAAAAATCATAGAAACATTTTTATATTATATTAATCTGGGGAGCCTTTTTTTTTTTTTTTAGCCTCAGGTCTCATTTTTAATGTTTGTACTTTTGTGTCCGTGATGCGTCCTGGATCTCCCCAGAGAGTTAAAAGAGCAGTCCACTGTGTGCTACTCAATTCCAGTGGGAACGTCTCACTTGGACAACTCAGGATGTTACAGCAGAACTCCTCATCGACAGTTTGCCCCTTGGGGGCACGTCTGTAACATGAATGGGAAGTTTAAGGCCGTCATGTCCCTCTCCTTCCAGCTTCTAGCTACTGACTCTTCAGCTGCTGTTCGGTCTGGGTCACAGCACAAAAGTTGGTACACATATACGCTTTCTTTGGTATCCTCAATGAAATCACATATGTGCATACACAAGACAGAACCCCCAAAGAGGAACATTTTGCATCAGGTATTTCTTTTTTTGAACTGTTAAAGAACTTTTCTTATTTCCACATCGACCTGATTTTATTGCCCTTTTGACTTCTCTTTGACCTAATTTTGTTATCACTGTTACTTATCTCTAAGAAACAAACTCACTCTATCACATTGAGTGGCTGGCTGGTTTGACTCACACCCTTCACGCAGTCAGTTTCTGCTTTCTGGATGCCGGCCTTTAGTCCCAAAATGCAGGAAAAGCCACGCTTTGCTCCAGCAGCCATCAATCAACCAAATAAAAATCAAACATTTTTAAACCCACATGATTATTTACACTTTGTTATGCTGTAAATGAGTTATCTGTTGTTTGTTGTCTGTGTTTAAAATAAAAATAAAAATGTGAGCCAGCCCAAATATGAAACTGATCACACCTTGTACTTGGGGGACAAACTAGACATATTTCTAACTTGTGACCTTTTTATCCAAAAGTTAACTTCAGTTCAGTTGAATAAGCTTGTACTTTAAAATCCCTTTAAAAATCCTTTGCAAAACTGTCCTCCATGTAAAGATGAACCTGAGCTGCTGCTGAAAGCAGGATCAATAAAGTATTTACGCAAGCGAAAACATGCGAGTTTTGATTGGCACGAGGACGCCAGCAGTTCAAAACCTGCGTCAGAGCTTCTGAAGAGAGGAGCAACAACACAATCATGCAGGCTCATCCACAGCACATCTGCAGCACGCTCATTTCTGCTGGATTCACTTGTCATTAAATTATAGGCTGAAATGTGGTCAGTGGGTCACGGGGGTATTTTCCTTTTCCTTATTTATTGTTATTCATTCTTTGCATGCAGAGCACAGCTCAGTGAGACTTCCTGTTGTTGCTGTGCTGTCAGTACTTTGTGTGAGTCCTCGGCTCGCAAGCGGTCAACACCAGTCATGAGCCAAGTGGGCCATGGTGGCATGGGACTTTACATGCAACAGCTCTGGTGAAGCGACAAGAATGATGGTTAAAAAAAGACTCAATGAATAGCAGAAACAGACAAAAAATTACCAAAAAAAACCTGATAAAAACATCTGTCACAAAGAGAAAGTCATCCTTAATACAAAGCTCTGCTCATGTTTGTCACTGGCCTCGAAAAGCTAACCAATTTGCCGTAATAACACAGCACAAGGTGGCTGTTTGCAATCTGAAAAGGGAAGCTCGCAAGCTGTCAAAGCAAAATCTTATAATTACTACTTTTCTGGGAACAAAATGCATTCAAAGCTGAAAACTGTATTTCAGACGTATGTTCTTGGGGACCTTGAGTAAATATTTTCCATCTCTGTTTTTCGAAAATGTTCGACATTATACGCAAACGGTTTGGCATCCCAGCTCCTCACGGAGTAACTAAAGCCAAAAAAACAGAGCCATTTTCATTATGACGCATAAATGGGTTCATAATAAGCAAGAAATTAAAGGTCATATGACAATCCACAGCTCCTCTTTCAGTGAATTCTGTCAGTTAAGCATTCATACTAATGCTCGGCATTCAGGGGAAAAATAGCTTCAGCTCTTTGTTGGAGTGGTTTATACAGAGCTCCAGGCTGTAGTACCCAATAATGCAATCAATTTAGACAAACATTTCTCCTCATAGCAAAGCTTTTAAGCAAAAGCCTAATGGAAAAGATTCTAGCAATCTTTGAGAAATTACAGAGCTGAACAATTTTAAAATCTACAATGCATTTGATCAAATGCAGAAAAAAAGTATCCTGAAAAACAGAGAGGAAAAGTCAGATAGCACAAACCAACTTGTTAATCTGCCATGTAGTGACAAGAGGATTGCAATAACATGAGCAAATGAAACTTGATGCAGATCTAATGGACCAGAAACCAATAACCAAGACTAAAATAATAACAACACAGCGAGTGACATCTTTGAATTCCCACATTAATTTCCTCGTGTCATTTCACACGAGCTCTCTAAAGCGCTTGATCAACACACTTTACATTCGGAACAAAGTTTTGCTTTCCCTCGACAATCAAAGGACGTGTACCCCGGGGGGGGGGGGGGGGGGGCCCATTTCACTGCAGGGCAACCTGCATGTGGCGAATAAAGCTTTGATTGATTGATTGGTTATTTCAAAAGAATCAATGATAGAGGCTCGCTTACTTTCTTAATCGCGAGCAGCGATGAGGCTTTTCCTGAAACCTGCACTGAGCCTTCCTTCATACATCTTCAATAAGTAAAAATCAATAAACCCTTGTCTCGTCTAAGCAAATGATCAGCAATAATTGGAAAGGAGAGACATGAATATGTTGTAGTCGAGCTCTGTAAGCATTGACTTTGATAAGAGCGTGAAGAAAACCGGACTGTGTTTGAATGAAAGGCAGGAAAACAAGCTGATGACACATGTTTTGGTGATGCGTGTGCAGGAGATACAAGGAGCAGAGCATTTTGTCCATTTTTTAAAACCCTATAGCTGTGTTAAAAACAGAGCATTACACTGGGAACGGTTGTTCAGCTCCATGTTTATATAAAGTCCCAAAATGACATTACACAGAAAAGCTTCTCATCTCTGCACGCACACATAAACAAGCAGAAACATTCCTTTATCACTCACTGCCAAGCTGCCACATAACATTAACTGTGGAACAAAAGCTTTTCTGCTCCCTTTAGTGTGGAAAGCCATTTGTTGATTTTTCACAGCGTATCCTACGGCCCACGGGGCTTTAACTCGCACAATCATAATGATGTGTCATTTGCGCTGAAAATTATATCTCATTACGAATATAAGTATCCAGTTCAGCCAAGTCATTTATAATTCCACCCAAGACAGGAGTCATTTACTCATTAGAATCCATCTGTGGCTGTTTTGCAAACATTTATGTTCTTATATCTCAGAAGTTTCCAAAATTTTTTGCTTTTTTCTTTTAATTAATGAAACTTTCCCATGAGCTGAACACAGGCTGGACACCAAACCGCTGCAATTTTGTGTATGAAATCTAGAAAAAAAAAATCACATTTAAAGGTTATAAAGTATCACAGTGGAAGTGCGCTGATGGCTTTGGAACATGTTCACGCAAATATAATGGGCAGTGCGCTCAACATAAATGAAATGTGGTGGTTGAAGGTAGCAGCGCCGAGCTTTTCAATCAATATCCCCGCCGCCAGTGAGGCCGGGGACCATTAGCACCAGTGAGCCAAGCAAAGTAACTCTGATGTGAAATGACAGGGGCTTTCACAGAAACCATCCTACCATTTCCCTCATTGTCATTCACACACACATAAACACACACACCCTACATTTCAGCCAGCCTCACTAGGCAACCAAGTGCACTCATACTGTTGTCTTGTTTCAGAAAAAATGGATTGATTGATTCATTTCTGTGGAGTCCTAAACTTCACCTCCCCCTTGCTCTTCCTCTTGACGTCTCATCAGACTCCTAATCAGCCAGAATCTGAGCTACTTGGCTTCTAGGATGCTCTGACATTAATGCTCTCCATACCACAGAAACAATATGATGTTAAAGTTGGCAATACATACTAAAAGTGCATGAACATTCAGCATCTCAGTTCTTTTTAAACTCTCACTTTTTTATATAGTTTTTGTAGTGTGCTATGTTAAAAACAAAAGCAGCATTGTCTTTAATATGGGCGTTGCCTCATATAAGTAATGAGCATAATTCCTGTTTAAAGGCTGGTGCACAGTGCACTGGGTTAATATGTGTTGCCTAGTATACATACAGCTGGTTTCACGTATAGCTTTGAATAGTGCAGCTCTTTTCCAGGCTGTAAAATTCAAAATCTGAATCCAAGCTTGTTTAAGGATGAATTAAATACTACACATCCGATTTTATTTAAGTTAATTAGAAACTGAGTCATGCTTACGTTTTCGTTGATGTTATTAACTGGTAAAAATATGTTTATAACCCACCTACGTGCTGTGACCCTCATCACCCACTTGTATATCTTGATGCCAGTGCATCCAGCTGCTTATTCCTGCAGCTTAATTGCATGCCAAGTGAGCACAGCGGACAAAGGAGGCGGGAGGACGCCTTCCTTTCCACTTTCACATCAAACTTTATTTTCGTCGTACTGAATCATGCTGACACTGCCCTACCTCTCCTCTCCTGCTCTCAGCCCCGGGTCTGGTGATGAGCGCCGTGTCACCGCACACCACGGCCGCGTCCTCCACGAACACGCAGTCCGGGAGCGACTCGTCCGCGGGGAGCTCGACCACCTCCAGCCCGAGCCTCGTCCTCAGGACCTCGACGTAAGCCTCTTGCTCCTTCACCGCCTTGGCCAGGTCCACCTCCGTCTGGCTGCTCCGCAGCGCTTCTTTGGCCAGGGACACAGGGATTCCCCGAACGACGGCGTGGGTGTAATGACCGAAACCTGCCATCAAACCAGCCATGTTTTGCGTTCCCTTTACTTGGCACGTTCAAATCTGGAGAAAAAAAACCACCCTGAGAGACAACTCGGCGAATGAATGAGAGAGAAAAATACTAGAGTCAGCTGACTCGATAATTCCTAGCTTGCTTATTTGTTCCCTGTTAGTTTGTTGGGCTTTTATTCTTTATTTACAGTAGCCTGCTGCACACAGTGTCAGTCAGCCCTGCTCCAGTCTCCAGGCGAGCGACAGCGCTTCGGTGACGCGCACCGACCATCACGTGTAGCCTGAGTCTGTCAGCCCTCAGCCAGGCGCTCAGCCCAGCGAGTGACAGGACCCCATGAGCCTATGGCTCAATCAATTATCCACTGGATCAACAGAGCAAAACCTGATAGTAAAACCCGAGTTAACAGTCTATTCAAATCATTAACAAGGAAAAATACAGGTTCCATATCTCTGTAGGGACAAATCAGAAAACAAAACAAAAAGGGTTTGTTAGATTTTTTTTTTTGCCAAGGAAAATGCAAAACACTACCCGGATGTAGCTTTTCAGTTATAGAAGGACATACATTTCCCTTCATATGTGGTTGTAAATAATGCTGTGGACTGTTGGCTGGTCAATTAGAATCAGAATGTCTTTACTGTCTTTGTCACAGGTACAACGAAATTAAAAGTGGTCTGCGATCAGTGCATCATCCATAGAAATATAAAAATATAAATAAATAATAAAATTAATAAATGGAATACTTAGACCAGGGGTGGGCAATTCCAGGCCCCAAGGGCTGGTGTCCTGCAGGTTTTAGATCTCACCTTGGGTCAACACACCTGAATCACATGATTAGTTCGTTACCAGGCCTCTGGAGAACTAATTTAGCCATTTAAATCAGCTGTGTTGGTTCAAGGACACATCTAAAACCTGCGGGGACACCGGCCCTCGAGGCCTGGAGTTGCCCACCCCTGACTTAGACCATTTTAGCTTGTTGGTGTTCCTGTTAATAACACATTACAGTTATGTGGGGGGACATTTCACAGGATGCAGTCCTGTGAAAAACTATGTCCCATACTTCCAGGGTAATTATGAGGGTAATCAAATTTGATTCGCACTTGATTTGTTGACCATCAGCAGAGGTGACTGCCTCTACAAAAGCAGACGTTCTGGCTGCTTGCTAGCTTGGAGCATTCAGGCCAATGCCGCAATTTTCTCGGAAGTGGGTATCCTGGAAAATTCACTTCAAGGTCAGACAGCGCAACGGTCAGAGAAACTGAAAACAAACAAAAAAAACAAAACTAAATCCAACAGTCACGTCTCAGACTCAGTCAGCATGTGAAATGTTAAAGTTCATTATAGTACAGGAATGGCTCATTTGGACCTGGACACCTTGCAATCACCAAGGTGGCTATGAGCTCCTCTGTATAACAAAGTATTCTAGAGTCAAATGTGAGGCCATCTATGTGACAGCTCAAGTTTGCCTGAAATTGGGTCATTCAAAGGATAATGATCCCAAGAACAGCAGCAAATCTAAAACAGAATGAAAAACAAAAGAATAGAGGTTTTACAGTGTTCAAACATCAACCTGACTGGCAGGACCTTAAGAGAGCTGTCCATAAACATAAACCTCAATGCATAGAAGAAACAGTGTAACAGTGACGTGAGACGCAGAAAACGATTACTCCAAGTTATTACCGTAAAAATTGGTTCTAGGAACTACTGAATTATGGAAATGCTGTCATTGTTCACCACTGTATGTGGTGTTATTTCCTCTGATTATGATCCTCATTTATATTAAACCTGCAGTAACTACTTTATGACTCCTCTTGGTGGTGCTTATCAAAGGAACAAGCAGAAAGTGAAGGTTGGTTAGTTGCACTGAAAAAGAGCATTTAGCATTTAATTTGGAATTCAAATGTAGGAAGAAATATTAAAAGCACAAAACTTTACTTGACTTTACTTGTCATCAATAAAAAAGCAATAAATAGTTGATCATCATGCCTTGAATGAAGAAAAACAAGCGTCTTTACAACACTGATGAGATTACACTGACAGATTGATAATAAGTATTCCCGCATCTTCACATTTTAGGTGAAACAGCTCCACAGTGTAATGTCAGAAGAGGACAAAGTAAGGACAAAGTAAGGAATCTCCTTGACCTCAACACTAAGTTTGGTAATGAACTGTATCCCTGAGAAATACATTTCAATATACATTTCACAAAAGACCTTCACTACAAAAAGAATAGCGTGTGGATCTTGATAAAACTGGGAACATAAAGACAGATGAGTAGCAGATATCTATTTGATTCCCACACCATTCCAACTTGGGTCAAAATACATTTCGAAATGAAGGAAACGTGTGCACACCTTCATTCTTGAACTTGATATTCTTGAGACGTGTATCTGCTTTCATCTTGGCAGACTTGAAACAAATACTGCACACATAACTCAAAGGGAAAGACTGTAAATATATAAAAAGAGAAGTTTGTTGTATGATATGTAGGGAAAGAAGGATTTGAAAGGAAGCTCACTGTTAAATGTGTATGTATAGAAGGAATGGTGCATGGGTGGAGGTGGGCTGGTGGAGTTGTATTCCCTACGGTGCCATCTAAGGAAGGTTCTGGGCCCGGTGAAGCTGTCTGAATGGATGGAATGTTTCTTCAGACGTCCCAGAAGCACATTCTTCCACTGCGGGACCTGGGTTTGTCTTTTCTTGTTCCAGATTCACTCAATTATCCTCGACTGCTCTAAACATTCCAGTACATTCCAGAAGCCCCGCATTCCTTCTTCTTTTTTCCCCACCCCAGCCAGGATCACCAACCACCACCACCCTTGCCCAGCTTTAACACCTGCCCCCACTCAGACTTCTTTTTTTCCCCTTCCCCATCATTCCTGATCGCAGATGGACGTGGCACAAAAGAAAGCCTCTTTTTTCTCTCTCCAAGCTGAGGAATTTGGCTTACTTTAGACGAAGGAAAGCCCTCATACTTCAGGCACACCTGGCTGGTACAATGTGCAGCTATATAATCAAAATGGTGAAAGCAGACATGGATCTGAAGCGGCACAGCGGGGTACGGAAGCAGTTATGATTGAACTCATCATAAGATCGTAGATGTCTGAAGTGACATGCATGATTACACAGGTGATCGAAGGATGTTTCACTCTCTGTGCCTAATTACAGAGAGTAATATAAAAAAAATAAAGTAATAGGATAAATTTCATACATAAAAATTGATCATTCTAGAAGAACAGCAATGGATATTCTATTTTACATAGCAGCTATATGAGTTTCCTGTGAATGAAACCTTTTAAACAGCATCAACAAGCCAAGTTTCACTGAAAGAAGAGGATGCAGTAACATTTATCATCATTTACTATAGTTAATCGACCATATACAGGCACTTACACCCACAGTTGAGCGCAATCAGCGTATTCAGGGAATTGGCCTTGAGATAGATAGATAATCCTTCAGGTATAAGTAATTGCTATTACACCAAATGTGTATTTGTTCACAGCCAAACATTGTTCCCAATAAATTTAGCGATGACTTCTACACTGGTGTAGGAAAAGACCCAGACACTTTGTCTGTTTGCACAGAATCTGTTAACGTTATCCGTCATGTTCATTACAATCAGAGCAGGCAGGTTGAGCAAAATCAGACACACCAGTACATTTAATCTCCTCATCGCGCAACAACTCCTGGAATGCACTAAACCTCAGAGAAATGTTAATGGAGCCAAGTATCAAAGAGAATTTTTACCTTGAACTTGTCTTAGCTATAATTAATTTAAGATGAAATGGAAGACATGTTTCCGTGTTATCAGATGTTTTATGTTTTTTGGACAAACAGGAGGTTCCTCTTTTGTCATTTGCTGACAGAGCCAGAAGGTTCTTAGGACTGCTGTGGAAATGGTCCGACTATATTTCAAGATTAGCATGTTCTCTGGCTTTGCTGGTTCACGCAGTAAATAACATTTCAACAGGAAGCAAAGTACGAGTATACAACAACGGGAGGAAAGCAAAGCTGGAGTTGCTGTAAGTATTCAAATAGCCACTGGGGAAAAATGTGTGTTTTCACGCAAAACTGATGCGTCGCTGATGACTAAAAAAAAAAGAATGCAAAAGACGAAAGATTCCTCCCATCTTTTACCAAACACAGAAATGCATTTGGATGTGCAAAGGAAATGACCTGTTATGGGCAACTACGTGATAATTAGCACCCTCGGTTTACTACATCTTTGTGCAATGTGAAACTACAGCAGATTACAGAATCAGAACATATTTCAGAGCAGTAGTAAGCAAACAACAAAAAAGGAAAGCACAATCCAAATTATCATCAGACCCAAAATGAAATTATCTTTCGAAAAATATCCTTGAACAACACCGTAGTGAACACTGTCTGTGCCAATATAACAATGATATAACAGTTAAGCACTTGAGGTCAACCTTCACTAAGCTGATTTCCTTCTTAATGAATCAGGAAGTCTGGTATCACAAAGTTACATCAGAAATTCGTGTGAAAGTGTGATCTCATGTGTTTGCCTTCTTGTGAACTTGTCAGATTTATATTTCTTCAGAACTGGACTCTGCGTTTTAATTGCTTGCTTAATCTAAGCAGCCATTCATATGCGAACAAGCTGTAACTCATCAAATTTCCTGCTTCTCCGTGAGCTGACAGAAGAAGGAAGTGTTGCTAGTACAAACTGCATGCTAGTTATGACATCTGTCTTGGCTATACTACAATGGAATCTGTTGTTTAAACATGTAGATCCTGGTCCATCCGTGTCTTAAACATAAATAAGGAAGCTGAGGGCTGCCACCCGTCTAGACTTCCTGAAGGTCATGCAGTCCTGATGGGTTCTGATAATGGGCTTCCGTCACAGTGAGCCTTGGAATCTCTCAAGCATTGGTCAACGTTGAAACTGCTTAGACTTCCCAGCCAGAGGCTTTGAAGTCGCTCAGATGCAGAGCAGTGACAACAATCCAATCATCGATTCTGTCAAGAAGGAGAGCGAGTCCCTCATCATCACGAAGGTCAAAGGACCGTGATGTGTGCTGTTTGCGTGAGGGGCTCTCCGATGGCTTTAGTGGAAACTATTTGGCAAGGGCAATTACAACAAAAGACGCACATCCAGCTTTTGGAATGTTTCCTAAAATGAATGGGGAATAATGGAATGAATATTGCTGCGTGTTATTCTCCACTGACGTAAAATGAAAACACTGCTTCCCATCATTGTAACACTGGGACGGATGCAAACATGCTGTCATACACACACAGAGGTAGGCATGAAACCATTACAACACTGAAGGACAACTGAGCAG